TGGTGGGAAGCTAAGAAGTTGAGAGTGTGGATGTAGTGACGTGTGTCTTGGGTGTTGTTGATGAAAATGGAGAGAGTAAAATTAATTTTTGAATTAAATACATATTTTAATCCTTCATAGATATTTTGGAGAGAGTGAAATAATTAAGTTTAACTGTGAAAGTTCTTAACAAATATTAAAAATATCTCTCTCATTCATGCATTACAGAAAATCAAATTTTACACAAATTATTAGATCAAAGGATGATCTTAAATCCCTAAAGAATACATATTTTAATGTTAACAAACTCGAACCTTTTTGACAAAAAAATGTTTTTAAGGTCATATAAGAAAGACAAATGATTGGTTATGATGGTGTGTTTGTTTGACAAATCTTTTAAACGGAATATTTCGTCTGTCTAAGACGAATGCATTAAATATATCATTTAAAATGTTTCATAACCATATGTTTTTTATATGTATATGACAACAAACTTAGACATCCTTTTAGAAAAAAGTTTTCAGATCATACTATAAGATGATTAACTATGATGACTTGTAGTCTCTTAGATGAATATATTTAATATATATCATTTATGATGTTTAACAATAAAGTCATATTTGTCTATGTTATTCCTTAAAAGATCAAAATAAATAAAAAAGTTTCTTCAATACTTGCACTTCAAAAAGGAACGAAGACATGTTTTGCATCAAAAAAGGACAAACAAATTCATCGAAGCATACAAAGTCTTAGAAAAAGTCATTCTATCTAGCATATGCAACAATTCCTTCCTTTATGTACCATAAGGGTGATAAGTAGTCTCCTTAATCATATAAAAGGTGACTATTTGGTGAAACATATTTAGTACTCACATTTAATACATTAATGGAAACTTCTCTCTACAAGGAAGGAAGATGAAGTGAGAGGAAGTAAACTTGTGAGAGATACTCAATAATTTGTAACAGTCATTTTTGTGAAATATCTATATAAAGAAGCTTGAAAACTTAAAAATATAAAGAGAATAACATTGTAAAAGCATATTCATTTTTTTTATAAAAAACTTTATACTTAATTTGGTTGTTCACGTCTTGACAGTAGAGATGAAACAATAAGTAACTTTCCAACTTTTATGTTACTACTAAAAGCCTAAATAGGCTTATTCATAAAGAATATTTAGTAGTTGAAGTTTGAATAGACTTTATTGTATGGAATACTTGGTTATTGAAGTCAAGAAAGACTTTGTTATTCAAAAAATACTTGAATAGTTGCTTGAAAAGATAATTCAAAGTATACTTAGATTGAGTTGGAAGTGACTTGTGAAAAAATTCATGTATCTTTGTAAAAAATAGTGAAATTTGATCAAGTTGATCAAGAATTAGACATAGTTTTAATAGTTGAGACAAACTTGTATAAAAATACTATGTGTTCTTTGCTTTTGACTCCTTATTTTCACTCTTAAGGTTTTTGATATTACTTCACTATTTTTAAAAAAGTGTAGTAGGGTTTTTATTAACATTATTCAATCCCCTTTTTAATGTCTTTCTTTTCTCCACATCTATGTTATTGCTTAACAGATTAAAGAAATAAAAACTTTTTTGGTACCTGAACTTCAAAAAGGAATTAATATATGTTTTTGGTCTAAGAAAGGATAAACAAATATCTTAAAGTGTACAAAGTCAGAAATATAGTCATTTCTGACTAACACATGCAACAATTCCTCCTATTCTATACCTTGAAGGTGATAAGTAACGTGCTTGATCATATAAGAAATGACAATTTGAGAAATGTATTTAATGCACTAACATACATATTATCCTACAAGGAAGGAAGACAAAGAAAAATAAAGCAAATGTATGAGTGAAACTCAAGAATTGCAAAATCATCTTCATCAAGCACCTATATATATATATATATATATATATATATATATATATATATATATATATATATATATATATATATATATATATATATATATATATATATATATATATATATATATATATATATATATATATATATATATATATATATATATAAAGAAGCTTAAAAACTCAAAGAAAAAAAGAACAACAATTGTAAATTTTATTTCATTCTTTATGTGTAAAGCTCTACACTTAATTATTATATCACATCTTATGAGTAAGATGAAATACTTGTTATCTTTACCCAACTTTAACTCAGTATTTTAGCTTGAAGTCTAAATAGGCTATTATAAAAGAATACTTGGTTTTTAAAACTTGGAGAGACTTCATTATTTAAAGAATATTTGGGTAGTCGTTTGAAGAGGCAAGTCAAAGATTTCTTAGGTTGATCCAGAAAGACTTGTGAAATGATACTTGTATCTTTGCAAAAATAGTGGAACTTGATTGAGTCAATCAAGAAATGGACATAGCCTTGATAGTTGAGATGATTCAATATTAAAACACCTCGTGTTCTTTGTTTCTTACTTATCTCTTTGTTTGCATTCCTTAAGTTTTAAACTATTACTTCATTCTTTCAAAAAAAAAATGTTGAATTTTTATGGATATTATTCAATCTCCCTTCTAGTGTCTTTCTTTTCTCCACATAAATGAACTGTTTTTTGTTTGATTAGTAAGAATTACCATGACGACAACAAGTCTCAAACATAAAATCTTTTGCATACTACCTAACTTTTTACCAATAGGTCGCCTTTAATAGTTCACACAAACGAATTATTTGATATAGATTATATTAAATTTAATAATTTAACTTTTATTTTACACTTATAATTTTGTTTATCCACTTTGTTAGATCAAAGGAATATCTTAGATATCTTAAGAATATGACTTTTAATATTAACAATCTTGAATGTTTTTGATAAAAAAAAGTTTTCCAAATAAAATAAGAAAGATAATTGGTTATGATGATGTTTAAACTTTTTGATGGATCATTTTGTCTATCTAAGACAAATGTATTAAAAATATCATTTATGACATCTAATAACCAAATTATTGTTAAGTCAAAAAATAATTCCTCAAACTCAAAGTTTTAATGTTAATAAACAAAACGTTTTATATAGAAGAAATGTGTACGAAAACTTATTTGAAAGGCTTATGAAATGAAGTGTAGGACACATATCATCTGAAAGACGTTGTAAGTCAAATGAAGCATATAGTTAGTCTCATATACTTACATATTTATCATTTATTAAGACTAACAACAAAGTTTGTTTTTAATGCTTTATTCCTTGAAAGATTAAATCAAAAGACCAACTCGGAACTCACAAATTTTTTAAATAAAATAATCATGCTTTCCATCATAACCAAATCCCTAAAATCACAAAGAAAAACAAATAAAGTCATTACTATAGTTGTTATGCGCTGACATTGCATCTATAAGCTATGTTTGGTAAGAAAAGTTGATAAATAGCCTTATTGATTAGATAAAAGGCACTATTTGTTAAAATGCATTTAATCCTCATATTAAATGTGTCAAACAGTTACCTGCCACTACAAGGGAAGACGATGAAGACAGACGGAATAAATTTGTGAGTTGGACTCAAAATGTTGCAATAATCATATTCTTTAAGACACTATATAAGAATATTCAAAATACAAGAAAAACAAAGATACCAATTATAATTGACACATATACTTTGTACAAAAACTTTTTTTGTAAACACTCATTGTTCTATTGTCGATTGTATAACGTCTAAGTGAGACGAACACAATATTTGTGTAACCTTCATAATCATTGTTATGAGTTTGAGCCTGAAGAGACATGTCAAAATAATACTTGTATCTTTGTTTACAGATAGTGAAAGTCAATCTGGTTAGATTGAAAACTAAACGTAATTTCAGTGGTTGAGACAAATTAATATAAAAATATTCAGTATTCTATCAAATTGCTCTTCTTGCTTCATCCAACAGTCCAACTATTGTTATTACTTTACTACAAAAAACATGTGCAAATTTTTTATATACACTATTCAACCCCCTTCTAGTTTTTATCTTTTCTTCACACCCCTTTATGTCTATGTTATTTCTTAATAGATTGACAGAATAAAAGCTTTTTTAGTACTTGGAAATTAGAAAGGAACAAAGATTTGTTTTTCATCATAGAAAAGGACAAACAAATATACTAAAGTGTGCAAAGTCTCAAATAAGGTCATTTTTGATTGACATAATAATTTCTCTTGTTTTGTACCTTAAAGGTGATAAATAGTCTTGTTGATCAGATAAAAAGTAACAATTTGATGAATCATATTTAATGTACTAATGGACACTTTACTCTACATGGAAGAAAAATGAAACAAACCTATGAGTGAAGTTCAATGATTTGCAACAGTCATCTTCATAAAACACTCATATGAAAAAGCTTGAAAATTCAAAATGAAGATAAGAAGATAGGCATATAATAAAAAAAAAACATTATTTGTAAAATTCATTATATAAAAAGTTATGTACTTAATTATTATTATATCATGTCTTGTAAGTAAAACAAAATAACTATATTTGACTTTGTGTTATAGCTTGACACCTAAAAAAACTTTATTGTAAAGAATACTTACTATTAAAACCTAAAGATACTTTGCTGTAAATAATACTTGTTGTTAAAATTTAGAAAGATTTCGTCATCCAAAAAACATTTAATAGTTGCCTAAGAGATACATCAAATAATACTTAGATTGAACTAAAAATGTCTTGGAAAAAAATATTCGTATCTTTGCAAAAATAATAAAACTTAATCGAGTTAATCTAATTTTTTTTTAACTTTTTATCTAATTTGATTTTTTATTTTTTTACAATTATTTATAAATTAAAATATTAATATTTTAAATAAATTATTAATAAATAATTTTTTATTATAATATAAATTATTTATAATAAATTTAAAATATAATTTACATATTCAAAAATATATATTTATATAATTTTAAATATAACTTATATATTCAAACATATTTATTTATATATATAAAATTTTATAGCCAAAAGCAAAAACATAACCTAAATTAAATTAAATTAAGAGAAAATATTTTACCAAGTAGCATGCGTTTGTCCGTGTTCTTTGGCCCCCCAGTGACCAAAACCATACTTCGGTAGACGAAACGCAGCGTTGAGAGCGTCGCCGCGTTGGGAGCGTCAATAGTGGCACCCAAATTCTGCACTGAAGCAAAGTCTCTGTTCATTCGCGTTGCGCACTCTCTGAAGCGTTCGTTTCAATTCCAAAGTTCTCTGAAGGTACTGTTTTTTCTCTCTCTTTTTTCTCACTCTTCAATATTCTTAGGGCGTTCTCAAAGCTTTTCAGTTTTCCACATTTTCTATTCACCGTTTTTTTTTCCTCTTTCTTTTCTTTCATTCAAATTCGCGAATTCGGTCCTTGTTCGTCCGAGTTTGCGCTCCTTTAGGGTTTAATGTTTGCTCTTAAGGTGTTCGATAAGTGTTTTATTCAAATGCTTTCTGTCCAAATCTCAGTTTCAGAATTTTCGAATTTAGGTTTGTAAATTGAAATAAAGGAGCTGATACTTTAGTTAAATTATTTATTTATTTTGTTGTGAGAATGATATATGTTTGTGGTTTTATTTTTAATAATTAATAGTTAATTAGTCATTTGCGGAATCAGGTCATTGATTTAGTTTAGTGGTTTTTTGTTTGTTAGTGTACTAATGGATGCGGAGTGGTCTGATTCACGATATGATGGTAGAAATGATAAAGATGATTCGCCATTGAGGGAACAATATGATGATGATGGAGCAGATAAATCTAGCAAGCACAGAAGCAAGGATAGGAAGAAGAGTGACAAGGAGCACCGCAGGGAACAGCTGAAGGATGCTTCAAAAGAGGGAAGGGAACGGAAGAAGGAAGATAGGGATGAACGCGAGAAGGACCGGGGCAAAGATAAGGCAAGGGAGAAGGATTATGACAGGGAGAAATACAGGGAGAAGGAACGAGAGAGGGATAGAGATAAGAAGGAGCGGAGTAAGGATAAAGAGCGCGAAAAGGATACGGAGAGAGATAGTGAAAGAGTGCGAGAGAAGGAGAGGGGTAAAGAGAAGAGTAGGGATAGGGATAGGGAAAGGGAAAGGGAAAGGGAGAAAGACAGGGATAAAGCTAAGGAAAGGGAACGGGAGAAGTATAGAGAAAGAGAGAAGGAGAGGGAAAGCTATAGAGATGGGGACAAGGATAAGGGGAAAGATAAAACTAGAGAGAAGGAGAGGGAGACGGATCGAGATAAAGAAAGGACAAGAGATAGAGTGAGCAGAAAGACTCCTCATGAGGAGGATTATGAGCTGAATAATGTTGATGATAAAGTAGACTACCATGACAAGAGAGATGAGGAGGTTGGCAAGCAGGTGAAGGATACAAAGCCTGACGAAGATAATCAAGATAGTCAAACATCTGCACATATTTCATCAACAGAACTTGAAGAACGCATCTTGAAGTAAGTAAATTTATCCTCCTTATATTTGTTTTATTTTCTTTTACTTTTTTAGTATTAACTACTTGACTACTTGGTATGATATAATCACTGAATGCTTGAAAGTTGAGGTTCTTTTATGGAATTATTACTTTGTTGTTAGTATTGCAGTTATGCCTTGGGGTAGTCAAATTGTAATATACGATACATCATGTACTGTGTGCATTGGCCAAATGCACATTATATTGATATGTTGCATAGGATACATAATCTACGTGCTCTTGGTTGTAGTATGTAACATTTGATTCATTATTGCATTTTTAATTTTTTTTATTTAATATTTGTAGTAACTGAACTATATCTACTCTTTCTGTCAGCATCGTATTGATGTAGAATGCCAAAAGGCTTGGGAGTTAATGGGATTAATGATTCTCTTGTGTGTATTATTGGTAGAAAGTAATTGATGGAAGGTTTGTCGAGTGTATGTGTAGGTGAGGAGATTTCGGGAGCCATGACATAGTTCTAAGGTTCAAGTTAATATTTATTGGGTGCTGTAGAAGATAATGAGAATGAAAGAAAACCCTGATTTCACCCTGGCTAGGGTACATTAGGGTCAGCATCACACCTAGGCATTAATTGTACCACAACACCAAGAAGCAATTTTTGCCACAATTAATAATTCCTAATGAATTAAAACTGTTTAAATAGGCCTGCTCTACCTCATCCTACCAGTAATATTCCTAATCGTGAAAAGATGCATACTCTATTACTAACCAAGGTTTAAAAAATCATTCCAATATTCAAATATCATCTGCCAAAAAAGGGTTTTGTTGGGAAACGATTCTGAAACGGAAAGATATTTTGGAGTGAATTTAAGTTGCATGTTTAGCTTGCAACAAAATGGTGTTGCAGCCGTGCAGAGTTCGAAAAATGCTGTGTTGTCCGTTTTTGTCTGGAACAAAAAAGTTTCACCGAAAAAACTATCTCTGTGCTCAGCCCTTCAAGAAGCTCTTAACCTTTTTGTTACTGTGATTGAGTGATTTCTTTGATTTTGGAGTTTCATGTGGCTGCTGGCAGCAAGAAGGGTATGGGATTTGAGAGATAACCGGAAAGATGGAAGGAGTTACAGAGAGAAGCTTTTATGCATGGGTGGGGGATATCCATACATAATTGTGTGAGTTATGTGTGGTCAATTGTATGGGGTGTGACTTTGGGAGTTATGTGTGGTCAATTGTGTGGGCTGCGGCTTTGGGAGTTTGGATTGTGTCTGTGAACATGAATTGGGTGTGACCTTTTTGGGCAGGGGATTGCATGGGTAGGGTGGGAATTTTGGAATTGGGAAGATGGGAGTTACATTAGTGTCTGAACTCTGAAATTTACGTGGGAATGGGGGAGTGAAATGGATAATTTAGTGGCAAAATGAAATGTGAGGAAAAAACAATTGAGTGGGTGGGAAAATTTATTTTTTTAGTATGAGAGAATCAAATTTGTTATGTAATAGTGTAATATAGAAACCTTTAATATAATTATGTGTAAGTTGAGCATAAACCTTATGCAACCTTGACTGCAATATAAAACCTTGCCACTAACTCAAGGAAATTTTGGACATGAAAGACCCATTAGCACCTATAGAATAAAATCCTATGTCTAAATACAACCCCAGACCAGGAAAATGAGAATTCCTAAATTGAAAATAATTAAGAGTAATGATGTCAATAACTGTGAATCAGCCAGATCTATGAAATATGACAATCAGTATGTTTTGAAGTTTTCTAGCAGAGGGGAAGGGATAGGAGGGATGGGAATGGTAAGAGACTTACTTCCCATTGTTTGGATGTTTAAGGGAGGAAAAAATCTTGTATTTTTTAAAATGAAGCACCTTTATTTTATAGTTTATTTTTATAACCTTGTTTTTTCATAAGTTACTACTCTCTCTAGATTTTGAGAAAAACAATGTTGTCTCTTTTCAGTTTTATTTTAGAAAACATCCGACTATTTTAGAAGATTAAAACATTGTTTTAATTAATTTTCTTAGAGAGCAAACAAATGGCTCTTAAGTAATACACCCTTTCCGTTAGGTGGAAGGAGGAGGAACACATCCCTCTCCCTTTACGTCTTTAAAAGTATACCATACAAGGATTTAAGTAGCATTTTCCCTCCCGTCCCCCTCATTATCTCCCATCTGAAGACTGAACATAGCTTATTGCTCTTTAAATTTGGCCTTCTTTATGCTAATATTTCTGCTCTTAACCTATTGACTTATTTTGATGATCTTTAGGGTTAAAAGTATGAGCCTTTTCTGTTCTGATGATATTCTTTTTTATTTTGGATAGGATGAAAGAAGCAAGGACAAAGAAACAACCTGAAGCTGATTCTGAGATCTCAGCATGGGTTAATAAAAGCCGCAAGCTACAAAAGGAAAGAGTATTGCAACTCTCAAAGATTTTTGAGGAGCAGGTTTCTTTCCCCATTTATCTCATACCTATTATATGTTCTCTAAGATATTGTTTCTCCCAATTTTGATTTGTAATCAATACAACATGATAAAATTTTTCACAGGACAACATTGCAGTAGAGGGAAGCGATGATGAGGATACAACCCAACACACTGGTAAACTTCTTTGTTACTTTTTCCTCCGTTTAATCTATTGCCCAAAGAAATTTACTTTTTGAATAACTATTTTATAGGTAGAGATTTTCAATATAAGCCTATAAGGTTTAGGAATAGTTGGAAACTTTTTTGGGGTTACTAAATGCTATTAACTCGTGACATGCATAATAATATGGAAGTTTATACCGTAGATATAAGTATATCACAGTAGTCAATCCCGGATAGCGGAGCGGAGCGGTCGACCCTAAAAACGGGATAGCGGGATGACGCGGAGCGGGATAACCGCTATTTTAATATTAATTTATATATATTAAATAATTAATAATATATATATAAAAGCTAAAAAAAACTCTAATTTCATGCATTAAACATTTTTAATAATTAAAAGTTCATAGTACTCAAACAATACATAATATAAAATGTCTTCAAAACAAAGTGTTAAAGTTCTAAGTAAGTAAAAAATTAAACATTATAGTTTAATCTTCTTCTTCATCAAGATTAAAGTCTTCCTCTCCCTCAAATTCATCACCCTCACTAGCATTAGAAAAATCTGCTGAATTAAATTTAATCAAAAATTAAAAATAAAATCTTCTGAATTAAATTTAATTAGAAATTAAAAAAAATTGCTGAATTAAATTTAATCAGAAATTAAAAAAAATCTGCTTAATTAAATTTAATTAAAAATTTAAAAAAATTTGCTGAATTAAATTTAATTAAAATTTAAAAAATTTGCTGAATTAAATTTAATCAGAAATTAAAAATAAAATCTTCTTAATTAAATTTAATTAGAAATTAAAAAAATTACTGAATTAAATTTAATCAGAAATTAAAAAAAATTTTACTAAATTAAATTTAATCAGAAATTAAAAATAAAATCTGCTAAATTAAATTTATTCAGAAATTAAAAAAAATTGCTTAATTAAATTTAATGAGAAATAATAAAAAAATCTGTTGAAATATAAAATAAGAATAGAAAAGAGAAAGAAGACAGAGGGGGCAGTTGGAGCGGAGCAGCGTCGGAGTCGGAGCTGGACGAGCTCGGAACTGGACGACGCCGGAGCTGGACGACAGCGTCGGAACTAGAGGACCTCGAAACCGTTGTGCGTCGGAGCTGGACGACTGAAAAAACGATCGTCCAGGGAGTGCGAGGCAGCGAGAGTAGAGAGAGAGGAGAGGGAGTGGAGACGTGAGAATAGCAAGACTTCCGCGAGAGAGGGGAAAAATTAGGGCAAATAAAGCCCAACGGAAAGACAAACTTACCCTTAATGAAGGGTAGGTCAAAAACGCGCCGCGATTTTCGCGTTTCTGGCCGCTCCGCTCCGCCACCGACACGGCCGCTCCGGTCGCGACACTCATCTGCGACGTGACAACATCCAAATGGCGGGGTCGGGCCGCTCCGCTCCAAAGCGCCGCGATAGCGGCCGCTCCGCCCGCTATTGACTACTATGAAGTATATACATATCAAATAAAACATTATAGATTCCTATTATTATCCAAAGAGAATCAATTTAAACCTCATGACATATTTTAATTAAAGATAGTTTTCTTGTTAAAATAAAATGAAAAGATCCTTGTAATTACTTTCCTAAGCACAATTACTTTAATATCTTTATTGCGACACCCTCCACCCCATATTACTAACATATGTGAATGATAGTAAGAAGCGGAAGAATTTGAATAAAAAACTTTAATTATAAGATGAAAAGAGTTCGCAAAATGCCTCCTTAGGTAGATGACTCACATTTGTTTCATAAAACTAAATCAAGTTCTAACTTACACTTTTAGAGAAGTTGATATGAGTAAAGAACAATTCAAAATCCCAGTGACAACCAATTCCATTACAAAACTCCATGGATCTAACAAAGGTTCCTAAACAATTAGACAAGTTTAAACATAATACTTCAAAGAACATAGAAAAGAAACCATAAACTCCAACTCCTCAATGTCACATCCTATTTCAGAGCACATTGATAGACACATTAAGGCCTAAGCCTCGTCACCAACATCATCTCCTGCAAAGCATACATAAAGAACAACAAGCAAAACAAGGGGAGTTGGAGATATCTCGGTTTGGCTCCTAGTGTGATATAAGGCCTAGTAGCTACAACTCATACACTTGATGCAATGGGCACGAACTTATCTAGATCTACATGAATGTGGTGTTAGTAAAACTCATGTATGGTTGCATGAAGGCTGATATTCATGTATGGTTGTCCAATTGCTAATACTTATGTGTGGTTGCCCAATGACTAATACTCATGTATGGTTGCTCAAAGGTTAATACTTATGTGCAGTTGTCCGAAGCCTAATACTAGTGTACAGTCATAAAACATTTTATGCAAATGATGCATGTCACACACACAAGACTTTGCAACATTTCATATTATAGATTCATCACATACTCATGTCATTCACATACCATATCATCACAATGTCACCCTCGTGTACACTTCAATCAACAAGTCAAATGTCACCTTCATGTACACTTCAATTAATATCAAATACATGTTCATCACAATATTGATATAAACAGGTAACAAATTAGCATATCAAGCTAAATTATGAACAATCATAGTTCTAGTACAATAAGGTACACAACATCTTTCAGTAGCACCTCAATAAACTCACTACAAGATCCTCCATTACTACTACGATTATAAATCATTAACTCAATCACTTTCACACATTATTAATACCAAATGTTATATCCCTAAGCTAACCATCATCAAGTTATATCAAACTCAATTAAAAATTTATTTCATCACATATCTATACCTTAATCATAGTCACTTGGGGATCAACACTAACTAAGCATTTTAATCAATAACTTAACTAGTCTTACACTTTAATTTTGTAGGCATCACTGTCACCAAAACACATCAAGTCGCATATAATTGACTTACATCATAACTTATTCACAATTGTTCTCTCATAATTTCTTTTCTTAATGATTGTATAGGTATCTCAAACTATTCCCAAGATTAAGCACTTAAAGGATAAAACTATCCAATATTACAACTTACAAACTATCTCTTCCTTATGCTTCAACGACATCATGTGGCTAAACACAACATCTAGAGTTATACTTATGATATCATGTTGATCTTAATTTGGTTAGAAAGCTTAGACAATTATTTAAAACTTTTATGTTGACCCCAACAATTGATTTTACCATTTATTATTTTTATAAATTACAAAATTGCAACATTTTAGCCAAATTAGCTACTTAGACAATTATTTATAACTTTTATGTTGACCCCAACAATTGATTTTACCATTTATTATTTTTATAAATTACAAAATTGCAACATTTTAGCCAAATTAGCTACTTAGACAATTATTTATAACTTTTATGTTGACCCCAACAATTGATTTTACCATTTATTATTTTTAAAAATTACAAAACTGCAACATTTTAGCCAAATTAGCTAGCTTGACCTTTGTTCACTATTTTGATCATAACTTGAGTTCTAGACCTCCTTTTTAGGCGATTCCAACACCATTAGAAAGCTAACATCCAAGGCTGCAATTTTTATGAAGACATCAAAAGCTAATTCATTCATTTAAGTCTTCCTACGAGGGTTACAAGGTACATAAGATACTTTTCACGTATAGGACATGAGACTCATTTTCTAACTCACATAACTTGGTCATTTCTTAACATTTTAATGTGACTCTTGAGTCTAAATTGTGGCCCAAATGTCTACTTTCCAATCCAACTCATGAAACTCTATTTGGTTAATCACACAAAGAGAAATCACATAAATACCGAGGTATATTCATATGAAAATTTTGAGATAACAAAACACTACTTTCATTATCAAACAAATTACTATCAACTATTAATTACTTGAATTATGCACCAATTACTTAACCACAATTCATATGCTTCAATCTCTATCCTGCTTTATAGATTCATTGGAACATAAGGGTTTTCACAGATTTACAATATACATTGATAATGGTCATTTGTACCATACAAAGCACAATTCATGTCAATAGGAACAACAAGAAAGCAAAATATTAATGTTCACTCAAAGTGCAAGTAAAATAGGGGGCTCCCAAGGTCCTTGCAGAGCAACAAAACATACAAACTACGGGATTAGGGGTTAATCCTGCTATCCAAAAAATTGCCCCACACCCAAGAGTGAGATAACTCACTCCCCCTACATTGATATATGCTAGACGAAGGACTAGGATTTCTGGGTGGGCTTTGATGGTCTTTATGTTCTCCTCGTGAGTTCCTTGAGTTTAGAGAGAAAGGAGAAAACATGAGATGAAAAACATGAAATTGACAACCTCTCTCTCAAAACCTCCCTTTTTAAAACTCTTAACTAATATTAACTCCTCAAGTTAAAAGGCTAACTCCAGTCACACTTCCCTTCCCTCTTATTTTAATTAAACAAAATACAATTAAACATTATAACTTCACAAGCCTTGTAATAATTACTAAATTATTTTTAAAGCTTATTTTATTTTATAAAACACCTTTTATTAATTTAAAAGCACATTATTATTGTTCTTTTAAAATCCTTATCATTTAATAAAACCCTTTTTAGTTATTTTTCAGAAACATAGTTTTATTTATTTTATCTATTTTCCAAAAACCAGGTTGTAACATTTATGCTAATTATATTCACAATTATGTTAAGGCATTTGATCAATAGATCCTTGAAATTTCATTAAGAGTTTTAATTAGGTCTCTTATTGTTTGAAATCTTTAAATGAAGTCCTTATGGTTTTAAAATTTTATAATTAACTCTGTAAAAGCCAACACTATTAAACTTCTGTTAACTATTGTTGATGTAGTAATGTATATTTGATGCGGCAACCTCTTGCATTTTTCATCCATCCCCATCTTTCCCTTGTCTCTCTTGTTTATTTACATAAGCTTATTTTCCAAAATGCCTTTGTTTTCAAATTCCCAAATACCTTGGGAGAGGAAATGTTTCCTTTAAATCTGGGATAAATAAAGTACCCAAAATTGCTGGGATTGTCAAAGAGAGAATACTTTCAGCTATGTGATTTTCCTTCATTTCATCTCAGGTTTTCTTCAAAATCAACATTTAGATCTTCATATGCTACATTTCTAATAAGGGAATAGGTACAGGATAAAAAATTAGGAAAGTCCATTCTAATTTTGCACAGATGTTATCATTGGACTGATTGATTGACAATAAATCCTCTTTCTTATCTTTTGATTGTTCTTTGTTCTCTCTCTCTCTCTCCCCCCTGCATGAAGTCTCTATTTTTGTTTTTGTTAAACCTTTGGGAAGGAGCATAGATAAAGCTATTTTGTGTAGTGGTAGATTTGTCAGCATGTCTGATGGAACTCAGAAATTCAATTGACTGGATGATCTATTGGTAAAGAAACCTTTTTGGAAGGTTTATTCCAAAAAGAGGTGTAGTGCATAGAAATCTTCCTTTTGGCAGATCTGTAGAAGCAGTTAAGTATTTTAGGATCAGTTATTGGTCATATGGTGTGATGATAGACAGCTATTAGGTTCAGTTGTGTGTTTTTGGGAGCAATTATTTTATGTATGGTCTAATGGTAGACAGTTATTAGGTTTTATAAGAACAGTTATGTAATTTTTGTATATGATATGCCTGGTCTGAAAGTAGGGGGAGTCAGAGTACATTTGGAAGTTCTTTGGACAGGGTTATTCTCTGAAGCAGCTGTTTTAACTCTGGTTTCTGCTATAACTTCTATTAAATTAGTGTGCCAAAATCTCAAATTCCAGTGGTGTTCTATCAATGTTTTTTATTGATCAGCGTGTACCTTTACTCTACCTTGTGCATGTTCTACAAATTATTTGTTTGATCGTTGAAAATTGTGTTGGTAAAATATACTTGTATGTTGGAAATTTGACAGATAACCTGGCGGGGGTGAAAGTTCTTCATGGCCTTGATAAAGTTATGGAAGGCGGTACAGTAGTTCTAACTATTAAAGATCAACCGATACTTGCTGATGGTGATGTTAATGAAGGTACAACTGCCTTGTGCAGCTTTTATATTAAATTTGTAGTCTGTGAGTATCATCTTTGTATGAGTTGTTGTTCTTTACATGGCAGATGTTGATATGCTTGAGAATGTGGAAATTGGAGAACAGAAACGAAGAAACGATGCTTATAAAGCTGCAAAAAAGAAAACTGGCGTATATGATGACAAGTAAGTTGTTCATTACTGTTGTCAATGTGTTATAGGAATAATGTAAATATAAACTAAATGAACTAATGAAATAGAAAGTAACTGTATTAAGCCTGTGCTCTCAATTTCAGGTTCAATGATGACCCCTCCTTGGAGAAGAAAATACTTCCACATTATGATGATCCAGCTGCAGAAGAGGTTTGCTGCTTTGCATTCCAAAAAACAGATGTTGAGTAAGGTAGTTTTTGTGAATGCTTGTACTCATTAAAGTTTTTTATTCAGGGTTTAACTTTGGATGAAAAGGGACGAATCTCAGGTGAAGCTGAGAAGAAACTTGAAGAGGTTAGTTATGTTTTTCTTTTACTTTGTGAAATTATTGAAATATTGTTCCTAGAAAGTAAAGATGAGTTTCCATTTTTCCGTGTTTATGAGCTTTGTGATCAGAATATTGTATCATATCATTGTTTGTGACTGCATTCCTGTTATTCTTTTCCCATTGAAAATTTGTTCCGCTGAATTAAGTTGGTCACATGAATGTCATATGTTCATGTGTTTTTGCTTTTTTTCTTTTTTATTTTCCTGAGGGGTATCTTTTTTCAACTTATTACCAGCTGCGAAGAAGGTTAACAGGTGTTTCTACAAATACCTTTGAAGATCTAACTTCATCTGGAAAGGTATCATCAGATTTCTATACTCATGAAGAAATGCTCAAATTTAAGAAGCCCAAGAAGAAAAAATCCTTGCGAAAGAAAGATAAGCTGGACATCAATGCCCTTGAAGCTGAAGCTGTCTCTTCTGGATTGGGTGTTGGAGATCTTGGTTCTCGGAAAGATATAAGGAGGCAAGCCATCAAAGATGAGCAAGAAAAATTGGAGGCTGAGATGAGAAATAAAGCTTACCAGTCTGCTTATGCTAAAGCAGATGAAGCATCCAAATTGCTACGTCAGGAACAAACTCTCAATGTTAAAACAGAAGAAGATGAAACTCCAGTTTTTGTGGATGATGATGAGGATCTTCGTAAATCCTTAGAGAAAGCAAGAAGATTAGCTCTTAAAAAGCAGAAGGAAGAAGGGGCATCTGGACCTCAAGCAATTGCATTGCTTGCCACTTCAAATCATAATAATGAGACTGATGATCAAAACCCTACAGCTGGAGAGTCACGAGAAAACAAGGTGGTCTTCACAGAGATGGAAGAATTTGTCTGGGGCCTCCACATTGATGAAGGTAATTTTTTTATTTAATTATTTGAGGTTGTCTAATATAATGAAATTTCATACTGCTCGAGTGTAACTGTCCTATTTAAATGTAAAAGTGGATCAGTTTTTTTTCTTCTTCTTCTTCTTCTTTTTTTTTTTTTTAAACTTCCATGTGGATTGCTGGAACCCTGTTGTTTCTTTTGGCAAATTCATACTGCTTGAGTGTAGTTTGACTGTCCTGTTATTTGCATGATTTTACGCTTCTATCATGGATGGGTGAGTTTGTCCTTGATCAGAATCATTCTCTGTGTAGGATTGTAAAATCGTTCGTCACACTGGTTCATAAATTGATGGATTCACCGTTTTTTCCAACTTTGCTGGTCACTCTGTTTTTGGGTCTTTTTCTCACATTTTGGGTGTCATTTTTATTCATTTATTTATTTTTGTTTTGGGCTTCTAAAAACCTAAGCCCGACAAATCCTGGCCTAAACTTCTAAACCCTACACCATCCCAGCCTCCCCCGAAACTGCGGAGATCTTTTTGGAATTTCTGTTGAGAGCTGTACGCTGCGGAGCACTTTTCTTCCATGTCCAAGCCTCCGAGAGTTGGAAGTAATATGACCACAATCCCACTCTGTTATTCTGTTTTTTTTTGCTCTGCCTTAGGTATCTGTTTTGCTCCTGTTGCACTCATTGCAGTTTCTCTTTCCCACTGTACCCACTGCAGTTTCTCTTTCCCACTGTCCAACTTGGTTCTCTTTCTGTTCTGTTCTTTTTTATTGAAGATGTCTTAATTAGAGGTCTAAACTAGGTGTCTTAAGTTAGCTACTGCAGTGCAATATTTTAAGACATTTGGTTGGTCATTTCAATTTTTTGTATGGACTATGGAGTTTTGATATTGACATTATTGTTATGAATCTATAGTTATGAATTTGAGCTTAATTAAGTATTCCATGTGTTATAATGGTTTTATCCCCTCATTTATATTATGTTAGATGCATATATTTAGATTTTATAAATCTTGTAGAATCTTACTCCATGTTACATATGCACGATTTACGATTTTGTGACTCTTTTCCCGGTCTAACTAGAATCTTGATTTTGATTACCTTGGTTCTCTTCTTGATATCTATGTCAATGGTGCAATAATAATTTGAATGCTTGACATTGGCAATGTTTTGTTAGCTTACTGGAAGTGTTGGTCCATAAAGTTTATAATAGGGGAAGCTCATAATTAAATATAACTTGGGTATGTTGCTTTCAACTTTTCAGAAGCACGAAAACCAGAAAGTGAAGATGTTTTCATGCATGATGATGAAGAGGCTAATGTTCCTGATGAAGAAAAGAGTAATGAGGCTGGTGGCTGGACTGAAGTTCAAGAAACTAATACAGATGAACAACCCAATTCAGAAGACAAAGAGGAAATACTTCCTGATGAAACTATCCATGAAGTTGCTGTGGGGAAAGGGCTGTCAGGTGCTTTGAAACTACTTAAAGACCGTGGAACACTGAAAGAAAGCATTGAATGGGGTGGCAGAAACATGGACAAGAAGAAAAGTAAATTGGTTGGTATTGTAGATGATGAAGAAAAGGAAGCACAGAAGAAAAAGGAGATTCGCATCGAGAGGACAGATGAATTTGGGAGAATTGTAAGTCTTCCATGTTCATTACCTTATATTTTAATTTTTTTTATATATAAAACTAAGATCATCTTATATTGTTTATGATCACTGCATTAACATTTTTACCTTCAAAAAGAATACTTTAGAAACATTAACCGGGTGAAAATGAAAAAGGGAGAGATATGGGGTGTTTATATGACTTTGAATCTTCTTAAAGATCCCTACATTTACATGGACGCCTCAAAACTTTTTCCTTCTTTGACATCAATACATTATTAGGTTGTGTAGACATGAGGTTTATGAGCTTGATTTGACATTTCTGAGAATTGAACATTTTGTGGAGCACCTAGACTCACATTTGAATAAGGGTAATTGCATTTTGGGTTAGTTCTCATTGTTTTTCCTACAATTTAATTACTGAGCATCATAAGAGAAAGAGAGATGGAGGGAGAAATGGGAAGTGTTGAAGGCAGGGATCACTAAGTAATTAACTAAAAGGATCACAATGTTATTTGGAATAGAGAGAAGATATTAGGTATGTTTGTTAAACTTAAAATAAGTGTTTCTAAATAAGTGCATTTTATAAAACAATTATTTAAGATGCAGATAAGAGTTACTTATTAAAAAGAAGCAGAAAACTGCTTATTTTATAAAAGAAGTTTAGACAAACACAAAAAAAAAGTAATAAGTGCTTATTTTATTTTAAAAAAGTGTTTTTTTTATGAAAAAAAAGTTTAAACAAACTGATCCATTATAACTTGTTTGATCACTTCTTCCTTCCATACTGCAACTTGTAATTTCATGGTGTTCTTCTAATGACACATGTTTATTTCATGGCCCAAAAATTAGTTTCAAGGTGCTTGTCTTGGTGAGAGCAATAGTTACAGTTGTCTTGCAGTTGTCATATGTAAAAACTTCATTTTTGGTACTAAAGTATGTGGGCAGATAGTGTGACTTGTGAGTTCTTGGGGTGGGGTGGGAGGGTCCACTTAATACTTTTCAATTCTCATTGAATTTCATTAATTCAACTGTTTGTTTGAGAGTTCTCAATAATTAAGTCAGGTATACAAAATTTCATATGAACTTAAAAATTATTTGATACTAAATTAGTCAACTTTATTTTAATGATAATACACTTTTCTAAGTATAAGTAAATTTAAGTTATAAGAGTACTGTGAATATTCAATTTATCAAAAAATTGACATGCATGATCATCAAGGTATACATAATTCAAGGTTTGGAGTAATCAAATTCGTATTCTAGAATGGGTTATTAAGTGGACCAAGTTTGCCTGACTTATACATGGTGTAAGTAGATTCCTCTATGTAAAACTATGGTTCATCAATTTTATTTACCTGTCATGATTTCCCCTAATCTTCTATTGTTTTTCATTTTCCTTGTTTGGGTTGATTTAGTTGTGTAATTGTTAGGCCCTGAACGAGTGCTGATTTAATATTGTATATTATGTGAATTACTTAGTTTAACCATCAATCTTTCGAAATTTGAGTTAGCAATTCAGTTGTCAAGGGTATGGTGTATAATTTGATGCCTGCACAAAGAGTTGTATAGATATGCTGTGTTTGATAGCCAGGGTGTGGTGTGCTTTCTTCGAATTGCCAAAAGGGAAGCCGATCTGTATCTGTTATGTATTGTGCTTTGGAGTAGAAGAGTACCACACCATTGTGTCTGAAGATTTGTTTTGCATGCTAGTTATATAGTGTGTTTGGTTCAACTTATTATTGAGAAATAATCATTTTTCGAGCTCTATGTGAGAGCTTTTGAAAAATAAGCAATTATTTTACTAAATTAACTTAATAGTACCAAAGATGAGCATAACGTGCATGTGAGTTTGGGTGCTTAATGATTATAATATTTAATGGTACTTGAAACATGAAATTGACACTATTCCGAATGCATTTTATAATCAGTTTTAATATCATTCATTAAACTTTCAGTTTTTGAACTGTAGTAGTGCATCACTTATCCTTGATTTACTTATTCTTTTGTTGCTTCCAGTTGACTCCTAAGGAAGCCTTTCGAATGATTTCTCACAAGTTCCATGGCAAAGGACCTGGAAAAATGAAGCAAGAAAAGCGTATGAAGCAATATCAAGAAGAACTGAAGATGAAGCAGATGAAGAGTTCAGATACACCATCTCTGTCTGTGGAGAGAATGAGGGAAGCTCAAGCTCGTTTGAAGACACCCTATCTTGTTCTTAGCGGTCATGTTAAACCAGGGTATGTTTTTAACTTTACATACTAATAATTCCTGAAGTTTTAATTTAAAAACTGTGCATATAATGAAATGAGAAACTAGGAGCGTAGCTCATTTATGATTTGCTGATAAAAGTTATCGTTGCCATGAGAGACATGCTTCTTGAGCTAAAGATTGTTTTCTTTTTCTCCATATTACTTTCTTTTCATTCATGTCTACATTTTGGTGTAAAGATACTTGATGCTTAACATCATTCATGTCTACATCAAATGTTTATGACACCAGATTGTTTACACTAGATCCATATCTCCGACTGTTATCTACAATAAGAGGCTGGCTATTGGACATAACTTGGTTCTTAAATTGTATTGACCACTGATTTCTTGTATCTACCATGTGTCATGATGGGATTGCCAGTCCATTTCATTCACATCTTATTATTGTTTTTTCCCCTATGATATTATGCCAGTAAAATTAAAAGCTTTTGTACTGGATTGTGCAAAGTCTTTGCAAATATCAAGAGTTAATATAGCAAGCATGGTTCTGAGTATTTTCTTCTGTCTCCTCGTATTTCCTCGTTTGTTGATATACCAACGTATATGACTGTGTATGTTCTTTAATTGGCAGACAAACTAGTGACCCAAAAAGTGGTTTTGCTACTGTTGAGAAGGATCTTCCTGGGGGCTTGACACCTATGCTTGGTGATCGAAAGGTAATTTATGGTGTGTTTAGATAACCCTTTAATAAAAGCACATGTCTCTGTTGTTAAGATCTTATTTTTATTTTCTTTCAGGTAGAGCATTTTCTGGGAATCAAGAGGAAAGCTGAACCATCGAGCTCTGATACCCCAAAAAAGCCAAAATCTTAGAAGAGAGACTAATATCCCTGTAAGCTAAGAAGTTTGACCCAGTGCTCATCTACTCTGTTGCTGACAACAGATAATTTGCAGCAGAATTTGTGGTGTTCAAATTTCGTTGTTAAAACTAGATTTCCTTGGAAGATGTAAGTCGGTAGAAATTTAAAATTTTAATTACTGGCACTGGCAACCTAACACCGCCAGTGGTTATATTTTTCCGACCATTTCATGCGTCCCAGAATTCGGGATTCCTTTTTGTACAAATAAGAGTTTATTTTCATTGTATTAATTAAACATTTGGATTGTGGTTTTCTCGTAGGATACGCTAGTGGCATCACAAGCATGTTCCTCACCTAACGAACAATTACCAAATGATTGATTTTGCTAATCCTGGATCCATGTTAGCTCGTTCTTCAGTATTTATTTGAGTTCACCGAGTATTTCTGTATTTAATGGGTTTTAACCTTGACTTTGTAAAAAAATACTCGTGCATCATGACTAGTGTTTTGACCTGGTGCAATTTATTTTGAATGAAGGGGTCAAGGAGTTGGTAAGTAAATGTACAGTCGGGTCCAGGAGAAATAATTATCCGAACTGGTATTTCTGTTCACTAAAGTAAATTAGTTTAATTCGTATGAAAAGATTTTTATGCTTTGTTTGGGGAGAGGAGGGAAAAGGGAAAGAAAAGGTGAGAAATTATTTGATGAAAAATTGGTAAGAAATACAGTGAAATTTGTAAGTATTTAATAAAGTAGAGTTAAGTGTGAAATAAAAAGAAATTGATATTTTTAAATTATACTTAATAATTAATATAGTTTAATATTTTGGAAAAATAAATTATTTAATTAAATGTGTAAATCATTTTGAAATTTACTATTAAATTTTTAAAACACAAGTATATTTTGGTCTCGCAAACGTCGTTCTGTTTTAGTCTTTATAAATTTTTGTTACTTTTATAACCTTGACATTTTATTAGGTTTGTCTTTAAATTTTGGCCACTAAATTTATATTAGTTTAGTACTTAAATTTATATTTTAGTCTGCAAAGAAATATTTATCATATATAATTTAAAATTATAATAAATTATATATAAAAATAAATATTATATTTGAATATATGAATTATATTTAAATTGGTATATATAAATATTTTTAAACACAAATTATATTTTAGATTTATGAAAAATAATTTGTATTGTAAAAAGATATTTTTATTAATTAATAATTTATTTTAAATAATTAATATTTAATTTATAAATAATTATGACAAATATAAATTGAATTATATAAGAAATTAATTTTTTTTTACAAATACTTTTATTGAAGAAAAACTTTAAAAACATAGATGTTTGTATTTAATATATAATGGTCTATAGTAAACAAGATATAAAATATTAATTAATATGATTAAAGTAACAATAAATTAAGATAATTAGATTATTTTTATGTGTATAATTTAATTAAATAATTTATTTATTATTTTATATAAATAAAAATAATTACGCATGATTTTATTTTATAATTTATTTTCAGTTTTTAATATATCATGAATTGTAACTTTTATTTTTAATTTTTTTTATATTATTCTTACTTTTCAATCTACTAATTTACTTTTAGACTTTATATTTTTCTTAAAATTAGAATTTACTTAAAGACTTATAATTTATTTTTAATATATTACTTTTATATTTAGAGTATAAATTACTACTTGAAATATATATATATATAAAAATAAGCAAATTATATTGCAATTAATTAAAATTAATAAGTTGAGATTTAAAATCAACTTAAAAATGTATTATAAGCGACTTTAAAAAGTAAAATACTAGAAAAACTAATAAGTTAATAAAAATAATAAAATTAATGTAAAAAAATTACTATACATAATATATTAAAAATAAAAATAAATTATAAAATAAAAAATATATAATTACCGTGTTATATAAATTATTTAATTAAACTATGCACGTAAAAATAATTTAATTATTTTAATTAAAAATATTATTCTTTACCTTAATTAATATATTATATTTTGTTACTTATTTTAACACTAAATTAATTAAAATTAGTTATACAAACTAAAAAAAAACATTAAAAACATGTTAAAATCTAAAAATGACAATACTCTTTAGAAAGACTTAAAAAACCATAGAGAACAAATTTATCTGTAAGTTAATTTTAAATTATATAATGTAAAACTAATTAATTAAATTCAAATACATTATTAAAAAATATCCTTAAAAAATAATCAGAATATCTTTATCGTATACTATAAAACTTTACAAAACAGCTCTGAAGGTGAGAGACGCAGAACCCCTGGCCGCCCTTCTGTCCGCTGCTGCCACCCGGAAACGGTCCCCGCCGCCGCTTTTCTGCCCACACTCCGCCACTGCGGCCGTCCCTCCGCCGCTTCTCTGTCCGCATTCCGCCACAACAGCAGCCTCTCTGCGTTCTTTACGATGGTTACCGACGGAACCAAAAAGGCTCAAGTTTCAGTGCCTCGAAAAATCAACGTGCAGAAATATGCTGAATCCCGTGCCCTAGAGCTTCAGAGTCTTCAATCTATCATAGAGAATAGAGTAAACAATGATTATAGGTCTCAAAGGAACAAGAGAAGAAGAACAACTGCATTTGATAACCAAATTGCGAGAAAGGGAAGCAGAAGAAAGAGGCAGAAACTTGGAATAGTCGATAAAGCCAATGCTGAATTAGGCTTGGAGAAGGATCAACTAAAGAAGCTTCCTCGGCGTGTTCGTCGGAGACTTGAACTGAGGAAAAACCCAGAGAATGGTTTTTGCACTTCTGGGGATGGAACCAAGAGGCTTAGAACTCATATTTGGCATGCAAAGCGGTTCACTATGACCAAGCTTTGGGGTTACTACCTTCCTTTGTGTCTTCAAGGAAGGTAGGTCTTTTTTGGGTTAAAAGAAAATTGACTTAAATATCTTTTTACTCTCTTAGTAAATTTGTTCTTTTACCTCGAATTTAAAATCATTATTTTTAGTCATATAATTTTTGACATTCTTGTTTTAGTCTCTGAAAGTAATAAATTGGAATATTTATATCTGAAAGTAATAAATTGGAATAGTTATGCAACATCTTTTGAGTTTTAATATGATATTTTTATTAACAGAAACACCAATACAGATATTTTATATGATAGTATTTGATAAATTTTCTAACAAATTTTGAGTATAAAGACTAACATGAAAGTTTTTGAAATTATAGAGACTAAAAATACTAGTTTTAAATTTGAGAGACTAAAAATATAATTAAATTTTGAAAATTTTATGTTGGTGTTGAAGCTAATTAATTTTATTTTGTAGGGTTGTTTGATACTTTGATTTTGTTGGGATGTGTTTGAATTGTATTTTGGAAACCCGATGCAAAAAATGTTAGATTGTTTTAACATACCTTGGGAACACTAACAAGGATTGTGCATGTGGTTATGCAGAGGGAAAGGTTCAAGGGCACTCTTGAAGAGGCTCAAACAAGGGGTGCTTGTACATGATGCAAGCTATTATATTGCTATCCAATTGGAGGGTCTAGAGGTAGTTGATTTTAGTTTTAGCTTTTCTGTTGGAAATTTTTTCTTTATTGTTGTTATACATCCGAGTCTAAAAGACTCACTAAAATGTTTTTTTGGTTGAAGCATGTTGAAATGCATGCACCAAATAATTATTGCGGGCTCTCAGCCCCAAAAGGCGATGGTTTAGTTTTGTCTGTTTTATTTAAGGTTGACTCTTGAATACAGGATTCATTAATGTCAGTACTAAGAATGGTATTGGAGCCTTCTTCGGCAAAAACAACACATTCTGGAAATCATGATGACTCTGTTCTTTCCAGTGTAACCCATGGAAGTGCAATGGTAGGTGACCTGCTGTTGACTCCAGTAACTGCCAGGTTGGTTTGGTTAAACTAAATTAATTTTTGTTTCTTGACAGCTGCATCGAGTTGGAGCACCGGTTTCTCAGCCAATTGCTCCTGTGACCTATATATGGCGACCAACTTCCCAACAAAATATGAATACAGAGCTAGATGGAAGAAATCATCATACTTCTTTTGGACAACATGATATTGGTAATGATTCAGACAAACTTGATGTTGAATTATGTGAAAATTCAAACAAAATGAAGCATGATTGTTCATTTAGACACCTTTGGGTGTGGATACATGCTTCTGCCTTTGAAGAAGGATATGATAGTCTTAAAATCGCTTGCCAGAAAGAGGTTCACTCTCTTCCTTAGCTTCTTACATGGACTTTCCAATTATATTTTGTTTCTTTCATTGTCTTTTTCATAGTTTGGGTTTTAAACCCAAAATCAAGTGTCTGAGATATCTGATAGAAAGGACTGAGAAAAGAGAATTGTGTCATTATCAAAAGTACAAAAAAGAGGGTTCTGCTTCCAAATGAAACTAATGTTCCGTTCCCAATGCTTTCCATGCAGACTGAGTGGTTTTATACTTCCTTTCTATTTAAGCTAGCCACCTAATTAATTCAGTAACTAACTACTGTTAACCAACGGTAATTAATTCTATAACTACTCTAGGTTTATGCTGCAAATAATATGATTTTACTGTGCTGTTCTCTGCTGTCATTGTCCATTTGAGAGGCTTTCATGTCAGTAGCACATTTCAATTCCACAGTGAATGAGCATGGTTGGGTGGTGGGACCTAATATGGATTTATATCTGAGCTGACAGTTTATAATGATTCAGAGTCTCAGACGATCTTAGACCCTTCTGTCTCACTAGCTTGTTATTATTTCTTTAAAGCTGTAACTTAATATGAAAAGGTTTCTGTCTGAAATCATGATTAGTATTAATCCTGTTAGAAGATTGCTTACATGTAAAGGTTTAAAAAAAATGTTATTTTTGAGATAAAATATCTTGTCAGATGAATCACTGTTAGAGCCCAAGATGAGATAAGAGGCCCAAGAGAGCAATTGGACCCCACAGAGGGTGTATAGGCCCATGATCACGTCACGAAAGTCTATACCAGGAGGAATAGAAGAGTTAGTGGCTGAGTTGGCAGAGAAACAGGAATAAGGAGGGGAATCACGTGACATTGGAGAGGTTATGGTTATTAGTAGGATGGAGTGCCAAGTAGTGGAGGGAGGATGATTTTCTGTTATTTTGTTATGGGTAGAGAGAGCAGTAGTTCTCTACAGGAGCTGTGCTCTGTGGCAGCAGGGATATGTTCTTTCTGTAAACTCATTTCTCACTAATTAATGTTCAGTGATTTTTACTCTCTTTATTACTGTTTAATTGATTATATTGCTGCTGGGTGGATGTCGGTTTGTATCAATCACTAATTTGGTTGGTGTTGCTTGGCTAAGGTTTTAATTTCCTTGCTGAAGTTGAAGAACATAGAATTTTAGACTATTTATAAACTCACTCACAATATTTTCTTTATTTTGTTCAGATGGAGAAGAGTGGCATCTCAATTAATTGCTTTTCTCTTGAGGGCCAACTCGCAAAATTAGAATTAATTGGATCAGGGACATTTCAACTTCTTCAAAAGATATTGCATCCTGCTGGAGGGTTTGTTATCTAAATTAGACCAAACATTTCCCTTTTTTTTTTTTTAACATTAATGATCGAAAATGGCTTATTTTTCTTCTCTAAATTACAGTGTTTCAGAGAATCATTGGCAATTAAAGAAGCATGTGGCCATGGAAGAAGACTCTGTTTCTCAGAATAGAAATTCAACCATACTGAAAAATGAGGATCATTTTTCTTCTGGTGCTATGTTATCTCTTCATGTCAAGGATCCTCGAGAATTTCCATGTAACAATAATGTTCCTGTGGAGCCCATTTCAACTAAGTCTTCATGTGATGCACAAGAAACTACATACAAAGAGCTTGCTGAATTGGAAGGAATATTGGAAGAGAATAAAGATTTATCTTCATTGTCACAGGCAAAACTTGAAGACAGCCAGTCTAATATTGATGATCTATGGTATGCTACCACCAGAGGGTTGATGCCCCCAGTGGAAGACAGTGTCCTTTCCAAGGAGAAACACCATGCACGTATGGTTAATTTCTGCCTTGATGATATAGATTCTGGAGAGTCCAACTCTTCAACTAAGGTGCAGTGCTCGAGATCTTGCCCTATTCTTCTTTTAAAAAATGATATGAAGGAATTAAATATAGGGTAATTTCTTTAATCTATTTTCCCTTTTAATTTGTTTGAAATTACTGATGTTTATGAACATCTATCTAGTACTATTGCATTGCTTGTATTCTTGAAAAACAAATGATAGGTAATTGTGATCACTTGCTTAAGATATACAAGGTCAATAAAATGACTAGCATATCAAAGTTTAAGTTTTAATGACCTTCTGAGATTGAACATGATATCTTGCAATGCATGGAGTATTTGTGTCAAAATCTTCTTTATTATTTACTATTATATAAATACAATAAATTCTTTGATTGTCTTCTAGATGGTCTGTTATACTTCCCTTAAGTTGGGTCAAAGCCTTCTGGATTCCACTCATCTCTAATGGTGCACATGCAATAGGTTTGCAAGAGAAGCACTGGATTGCATGTGAAGTAAGTATTTGCACCCCCTACTGCATATAAAATGCAACTTTCCTGTTTTATTTAAAGTAACTAATAAATTTTGCTTGGAAACTTTTACTCTTCATTCAGATGGGACTGCCATTTTTCCCTTCAGATTTCCCAGATTGTAATGCATACTCTTGCTTCATGGAAGATAAAGCTGATGCATTTAATCGTAAAGCTGAACTTCGTCCTCCTTCCGTAAAGCCTTTGAGAGTTCCCATCCCGCCTCCATGGAGTATTGTTCGCATTACTTTTGACAAAGTGATTGGTGCAATGGAGACTCCTGATCTTTCAACTAGGGAAGATCTAACCAATGCTAATGCATTACCAAACCCTTGCCCTAGAAGCTTAAAAATTTCGAAATGTGACTCTGGGAATAATTCATTTGGTGGAACTGTAGTGAGGACAGGTTGTATGCTGGCTACTTTCCTCGATGAAACTAAAACTGGACAATTGTTATTGTTTCCTTTTGCAGCAGATAAGAATGCTAGAATCTCTAAGTTTATTAACGGCGAACTAAAGCTTGATCCAAGGCATAGATGTGCTGACATTTCTGACCATAAGCTTTGTTTTCTAAGAGTTCATCTTCGTCCATTCAAAGAAGGATGTTTTGAAGAGGGTGCTGTTATTTGTGCACCTTATCCATCTGATATATCTTTATGGACTTCAAGGTAATTAACATTGAAATTATGAATATTTTATTATTAATAATAATTTTTTCTCTTGTTTGCTCTGGTCCTTTTTTCTCATAAATTTTATTGTTGATTTGGCTAACACCTATGTTTTATTGGCTTATAGGGTAACAGAACATGATGTACAAGTGTTTTTTCGTAGGGGTTATTTTTTTGTGAAGTTTTCAATTAATTGTATGCTAGAATGTAGGGAAGGATAACAGCTAACAAAATATTGGTTTTCTTCTATTCCTTTTCACGGTTCATGCAATTCAGGTGGAATCTTACAAATATTTTATACATTGTACAATACCCCTTTAGGTACAATATAAAAATGAAGTGATGGATAATGCTCTCGTTGCTTGGAATAGTTATTAAAATTTAGAACTATAATGCAGAATAATATGAATCTCTTAAATATAAGTATATATGTTGTGTATGTTGTTTGCAGTTCAGAGAAAAGTGAAGAGGGACTTCAAATGTCTCAGTCTGCTATGCAATTATACTTCAAAGAACATTCCTCTGGTATATGGGGAATGCAGATACCAGATGATTCAATTGCTAGCAAGTCTCACCGGTGGCCTATTGGCTTTGTGACAACAGCTTCTGTTCAAGGAAGGTTGTGAAATCTAATCCATTTTTTACTTTAATCCACTAGTCTATGCAAAATATGTACAAGAACATATAAATGTCTAATTGTAGAGTATCTTACCGAGTGCAATGTTATTGCAGCAAGAGTCTAGTAGCAGAAGGATTTTGTGAGGCTGTTTTACTAGCTCATTTAAGAGAGGAACAGTGGAAGGAGATGCCTATGAAGCAGAGGAGGAGGGAAATATATGTACTTGTCAGGAATTTAAGATCTACAGCATATAGACTTGCTCTTGCCTCTATTGTTCTTGAATATCAGGAAAATGACATTGGGTTTTTGTAAAATGTTTTTATGCTTAAGTTAAAACTAAGCAACTTTCATTGCCACACGCGGAGTCAACTAAGCAAAATTTTCCTTTCCAATATAAGAGGAAAGCCACCGGAAAGAAGAAAATACCTTACTCTTTTATGTATCTTATTTTACGATCAAAACATTTAAAATTATCCATACTAGTAACTACTCTGCATTTGAGCCCTGTACTTATTCGTTAATTTTAGTAAATGTTACTTATGTCATTTTGAAAGGCTTATGGCTTGGGTTTAATCTAAATGCGGGCTTATTTCTGTTTTCTTATGGATCTTTGTAAATTTTTCTGTTGGTCTAAAATCATGCTAAATTATAATTGCTGATGTTAGCCAACCATTGGAGCTGGCATAAATACTAACAAGGTTGAATTATCATGGATTTTTTTTAGTCAGTGAATTCTTGCAGATATCTCACATGTTAATTGCATCTGTTATTGCTATTAATATAGTTGTGTTGGCTACTATACTTATGATAAATGTAATGTTTATAAATGATTACATTAATATTTTATGGAATAATAATGTTTTCCTGCGTTGAAGCAAAATTTTTTTACCAACTACAGAACAATGTTGTAAGGATTAGAATTTTCAAGTACTTATATTGTGACCTCCACCTTTTTCGAGTCTCCATGATATTGGTATCCTTGAGGGCTTCCCGAATAACAAATGCAGTTAGATGTTTACTGCAGTTAAATGTTTGTTATTGAGTTCGGAGCAAATGGTTTGGGATTCAATTTGAGTTTGTGTTGAGTATTACTAATTTCGGCTAATCAACTAATCATTAAGTTGATAATGGTGTTTGATCCGATGATCTCTAGTATATCATTGATTTTCTATCTTGCCGTTATAAGAGTGTTATTTTTTATCTATTATTTTTATTTATAAAAAATGTTAATCAATATAATGAAACAAGCTAAAAATGTAAAAAAATTCTACCTTGTTTATTACTTAATATGAAGAATTTAGAGAAAATATGACTCTGGGATTCTTTGTTTCAAATTAAGATAACACACTCAAATTTATTGAAAGAGGACTTAAGCTAAATACTTTCATATGTAAATCTCTTACACATAGCACCACATTCTTATGCATCTGAGAGTGATATTACCTACTTGAATCATTTTGAATGGACCAAGCTATCCACGAACTCTCCAATATTCATATGAGAACTTCCCCCCTCATCAACTGCTTTTGCTGCCAAATTCTTCCATTGGATGGCATTTCTCTTGATAACTATTCCCATCTCACTCTCCATAATTTTCACTATAGTATGCTTCAAAGCTTCCCTTCTAAAGACCCCTTTGTCATCCATTGGAACTCTTAGGCCTATTTTCCAAATATCTTCTACAAGCTTTGCATTTGTTGTTTGGTCTGTCCATTGTGGCACGGCAATCATTGGAACTCCCAAGCTCAAAGCTTCCAAAGTGGAGTTCCATCCACAATGTGTCACAAAACACCCTAGTGCTTCATGTTCTAACACTCTTAATTGATTGCTCCATGTTATCACCAAACCCTTCTCTGAATTTCTTTCAAAGCCTTTTGGGATCTTACCCACTTCACTAGCCCTAACCACCCACAAGAAGTGACACCCACTCTCTTGCAAACCAAAAGCCACTTCCTCCATTTGCTCCTCATCAAGGGTTGAAAAACTCCCAAATGAGACATAAACAATGGACCCCTTTGGCTTATTCTCCATCCATTTTAAACATTGATCTTCACTCTTGAAGAGACTGAAGCCATACTCATTATCATCTTTTACTCGTTTGTCTAGAAACATAGATGGTATAGTTGGTCCAATTGTTCTTAAATTTGGCCAAATCTTCATCAACCAATCTGTTACCTACAGAATGTTTTGCTTTCATGTCAGTTAAAAGTTAATATAAAAAAAATAATGAATTGTATTATTAGTTCACATATTGAAGCTATCATGCATATAAATTTGTCACAAATATTAGATCTAAGTATCCCCATGGTTTGTAATGGAGAACAATGAATTCCATTAGTTGAAAAATAATTATTATAATGCGACTACTTACACTACCATTTCAATGTATGAACAATTTTATAGATAAATCTATGTTCCTTTTAGAAACACAATTACTCAAAAATATGTAATTTTCATTAACTTGTTTTTTGGAATAGTTATGGCTCGAAAATATGAAATTAGTTGAACCGAAGGATTTATAGGAAATAAGCAATTTGGGAACCTTCAAAATTGGTTTACAATTTTTTTTTTAATATCATAACTAATTTTGTTTTTGTTTCTTTTGAAAAACAGTTCAATTTTTATTTTTTTTAAATAATTTAAAAGTACTTTAAACGTTTTGGTTTTGATCTTTAATTTTTTTTATTAATTTTATTCTTTATAAGTATTCTTGACAACTACTCTTTATAATTTTTAAAGTTCTTAAAAACAGTTTATGCCATTTTTTTTCTTCTAACAATGACGTGAAATAACATAAACAAATAACTGTCATCTCACAATTTAATTAATGTGACAAGAATAATTGATGTTCTGTCTTAACATTGACCGAACCAGTTTATTTATTTTCTTTTTTAAGTTTACAAAGACAAAAATGAATAAAAAAAATGGAAATGACTATAAATAATTCTCTGAAAAAAAAATGAAAAAAAATATTTTTTATAAACTAAAATTAGCTTCTTCATATATTGAAAATTAATTTTTAAAAATTAATATAATTTTTTTCACAAATTAACTCATAAATTAATTTTATTTTTTAAAAAACTTATTTTTTTAAATTATTTATGGAAACTTTTATCCAAACTTGCTCTAAAAAAACATATTTATTTATTTTATACTCTAAAGTAACTTTGAACATAAAAGTTACAAGAGTATATTCACTCATAAATTTTACTAGGTAAAATAGTAATCACGTTAACATTGAAATTTAGTTACTTTTGATTGGATATAAGTATATTTGGTTTTATTTTATGGTTTTAGAGTGACACTGCTACTATTTTTAGTCAATAATTAACACAATCTTGTAAATTTTATACCCCCTTTTTTTTTCTACAAAATTTGCTTCTATGTTTACAATTTTTTTTATATTTAAATTTGTGGATCACCGCTATCATAATAATGTTGATTGTTAATATAATACGAAATATTTATACGATAAAATATATATGGTATTGATATGGACGCATGGTGCAATAATAACGTGACATTAAACATGATTATGTGTAATTAAAGGACAAAATATATGATATTTTAGAATTATGGAGTAAAACGTACAATATTTAAAAAATATAGAGACAATATGGGATAAAAATATTAAATATTAAAAAAATATTACAATATTAGTATTTATTTTCTTTAAACCCCTAACTATTCTAACATACAAATTTCGTCCTTTTGTATATAAATATTTTTATTAAATGAAATAAATAGTTATATAAATTTATATTATTATTATTATTTTGATAATTATATGTTATTTAGAAATAAAGGACATAAAATGGTGGTCCGTGATGACATGATTTAGAATGTGATATTATAGTTTTTATATGTTAAAATGGTGGGAGAGTTTAAAAAAATATAATTTTTCTTTTATTTTGTTTGAAATAGTGTATATTTTAACCTCATTTTCAACTCATATTTTAGACCTTGTAAATAAAGTATAGTGGTTATTAATGGAGCTTTTAGTAAGGAAATTTTTTTTTTTCATATCTAAGAATCATGATTTTTGAGAATCACAAATCCTTATAATCATAATTTAAATAGCTAAAATATGTTTAGTTACATCTTGCAAATATTCATATAAAATATCTAAAAAAAAATTAAAGACTTTCATATTTGATTACATTACTATTTCTTGAAAATATAAATATTTTTTACAAAAATATATAAATTTATTAGATATATTTATTTATTCAAATTTTATTTTAAATATGACATTAAATTATTTTTAAAAAATTGAAATTTTATAGTTAAAATTATTTAAATATAAAATTAAAAAAAAATAAAATAAATGTTAAATAATAATTAAGAAGGATAAAATATATATTTTATTTTATTAAAATAAATAAATAAATAAATAAAATTCTTTAAAAAAATATTATTAAATTATAAAAATAAAATAGACTATAATATTATTAAAATTAATAAAGTTAAAAAATAATAAAATATATGAAAGAGTGAAAAATAAAGTTCTAACTATAATTCAAGATATAATAAAATAAGATAATAATCCTATACTATTATAATGTGTTGTCTGCTAGCCAAATAGTGTATAATATATTCATAAGATGCAACAGGATAGATAAACTCTCCTGCATCTTCCATATGTACATGTTGCATATATTATATTATACAAAATATATAATAAATATAACATATATAACATTAAATATTAATTTATAAATATAAACAAATATAATATCAATATAAAGTAATATATATATATATAATCTATATTATATTTTTTTCTTTCAATATTTTCTCTTATATAAAATTATAATAATTTTGATATTTAAATTAAAATTATATTATCAAATAAAATATTAAAATAATTTTTTTAAAAATAGTTTTCAAAGAAAACATTTGAATAATAATTATAATTTTAAAAACATTGCATATTTTTATAATTTTAAAAAAAGTAATTACCTTATATGAAAAATAACTTTTATAATATAATTAAACTTATCTAACTTTTAATTTAAAATTTTTTAAAATTAAATTAACACTTATTTTTTAAAAAGTTATATATAATTTTTATGAAACTAAAATTTTATTATTTGAATATAATTTATATTATATCTTATTTTTTTATTAAATATAAACATATAATATAATAATATTATCTAATTTATTATTAATATATACATCAAACATTAAATATCATTAAAGTCTAGCTTACCTTCGGAATATATTTTATCTGAATCACCAAACAAGTCTTTATAGAATTAATGCTCAATCAAATGAATTGATGGAATCACAAATTTTAAGAAAAAATTTGAAAATGTGGGGCAAAATTTGCCAAACAAAAAATTTTGAGAGACCAAATTCATAAGATTGTATATAGGATAATAAAATGGACTCAAATAGACACCTGAAAAATATATTCACGTGAAGTGTATAAATATATGCTTATATGGGGATGAGGATGGTATAGAATGAGTATAAATTTGTAAAATTTAGTGGGTCTAGCTACGAGCACTATAGTATCTAAGTTGCCTTTCTCAATAGTTATATATATATATATATATAGAAACGTGTCGGACTGTGTTTTCTGGAACTAGTATTTGGTTTGGTCTCTCAAGTCGTGGTTTAGGGTACAAATAGGGTTTATTTGTCCGAGTCAATGGGTATCAAACTAAAATTAAAAGGAATAGTGGAAAGTTTAACTTCACGAACAAATGTCAATAAATCAAATTTGAATAATCTAAATATTAATAATTTTTTTTAATGATTATGATTTATTTGTGAATGACACAATTGAAACACAAATAAAGTCTAAAATAAAGCTCTACTTAGAAGAAAAAATTGTCTAGGAGTGCTACTTTTGACATTCTTGAATAGTGGAAAACAAATAGGATAAAGTATCCAATTTTACAAAAAATTGTTAAGGATGTTTTGGTAATCACAATTTTAATAATAATTTCAAAATTTGCATATAACTCCGGACGTAGATCTTTAAGTCCTCATCATTTTAGGCTTCACGAGATTACTCTAAAGGTATTTATGTGTGCACAAAATTAGTTGAAATACAAACAACAAGGTAATAAATAATTAAACTTTATTTTTTTTAATATAAGTTGTTTTTTATTTTTTACTCGTTGATTTTAATTATTAATTTAAATTATTTAATCATTTATTTTCTTGTCATGTAATATCTTTTGGTACTCTAGAACCAAAATAATATATGCACTTGGAAGACAAATGTTTAAAAAATATGGAGAAGTTGATTCCAATAGTAAAGTCAAATGTCTTCATATTTATTTTTTGAAATTTATAATATATAATTTAATCTAACTAATTTTTGTATAATTTTTTTCACAGGTCTTGGATAATATTGTTAATATAGGATTATGATGTTGGAAGTTAAATTACAACTTTTATTATGTTAATTTTTTTAAGTTTATTTACAAGAATTGAATGTTTCATAATCTTTATTTATAAGAATTTTTATGTTAAATTTTTGTAATATTAAAGATCTAACAAATTAATATCATGTTTGCTTATATGAAATGTTATTTCTTTATTAATTTATTTATTTTATATATAAATAAAATACAGGTCGTGGATGTAGGTATGAGTACTTAAGTACCTAACGGGTATAAAGATGATGATTAAAATTGTTATCCACACATGTATGAGATTAAGTATAAGTATTATTTTTAAATATGGGTATTAGAATGAGTATTATAGGATCCTATCCAGACCCTACTCATTATCTTCCCTAATTGTATATCTTCATAGTCAAAGTGAAATTAATTCACCCATTTAATAGTTGAAAAGTTTGAGTTTCATTAAATAAAAATAACTGCTGCATTTAAAAACTTTGACATGTTCACTACATAAAAATATGAACATCAAATTTTGTTTTTTTGGATAAAATACATTTTTAATAAATAAATAGAATGATTCAAATCAAGATTTTCATACTTATCTATGTGAAATTCAAAATCGTAAAAAAGTATAAAATGAAAAAAAAAGAATGTTATTTTCTTTATGAAAAAGAAAAAAATAATTCTATTTATCAACAGGTCCAAGCATGACCTAAAATATTTGTGTTATTGAGTCGAATGCCCCTTTATTATGAGTTATCAATCTACTCTTAGTATTGAAAGGAGTTTTTTTTTATTAGAAAGAATTACCTTTTAATCCTATAGTTCTTTTATTCTATGTATTTATCTTTTTTAATTTTTTTTTATAGTTTAAGATAAACATTTTAATCCATATACTTATTTTTTTAATTCTCAACTATGAAAAATAACTTATATATATATATTGAGGGAGGGAGGGAGGGAGAGAGAGAGAGAGAGAGAGAGAGAGAGAGAGAGAGAGAGAGAGAGAGAG